TACCACTGCGTAGCAGGCGACAAATGAAGTTTCGCCGGAAAAGCTGGTTCAAAACAAAATTAAAAATAATTTTGGTGATGAGCATCTAGGGTGCCTATTGAACAGATTCGTCAATTTTCTGATATATTGTAGTACTTTAGAAATATTGATTGATTGATTTGTGGGGTTTAACGTCCCAAAACCACCATATGATTATGAGAGAGACGCCGTAGTGGAGGGCTCCGAAAATTTCGACCACCTGGGGTTCTTTAACGTGCACCCAAATCTGAGCACACCAGCCTACAACATTTCCGCCTCCATCGGAAATGCAGCCGCCGCAGCTGGGATTTGAACCAGCGACCTGCGGGTCAGCAGCCGAGTACCTTAGCCACTAGACCACCGCGGCGGGGCTACTTTAGAAATAATGCACACTTTCAATTTTAAATGGGATAATCTCAGAACATGATTTTATTGCGATAGCAATTATATGGACACACTCGGCTGGATTTCGCCGCTGGCGTCGACGTCGATGTCATGCACCTTATGTATATATATATATATATATATATATATATATATATATATATATATATATATATATATATATATATATATATATATATATATATATGAAAACGCAAGAAAGAAAAAAGAATCCTAGATAAAATATTCCAGTGCGCAGAACCGAACGTGGGGCCTCCGCGTCATAAATGCGAGGCGTTCACCACTGAGCCACCGAGAGATTTTTTTTATTGTAGCCATCGATAGATACCTCCTGCAACGTTCAAATGGAAAGCTATTCATATCTACCACTTACAACACAATCGTCCCCCGGGGGGGGACGATTGTGTTTTCAGCATTATCAGCAAGATGGCGCAGTGAGCGCGCGGCGACTCTCATCTCTCACGCGTACTTTGGCCCACATAGAGAATAAGGGGGTGTACGCTCGATCACGCGCCCTTATCTTGCAGTAAAGAGAATCGTACGTTTTGGCTAGCCTTTGAGTTTCGTCGGAACGATTCTGTTGTAGTTACCGCGCGCGCAAAGGTCACTGCAATCGTTTCACAGCCTTCGTTTGCGAATAGGGCGCACTTTTCAGATAGAGCAAAGTAACAACTGAGACGCTTATTCGCGTTAATCTTTACATGTGAGTACGTTTCATGCGCCCTTTGTGCGTGAGAAACGTGGGGCACGTTTCGATCTGCTTGTCATCCTGCGTGTGACCTTTTAATTTGTTGCTATCGCGATCACTCCTTCGCCTTTGTGGCAAAGCTGTGAATTTCCTGTTCTTATGTTCCTTTTCCTCAGCAGCCATAGTATTTCAAGTCATACGTTTCGGCCAGCATTAAGAAAACCTAATATAGGGAATATGCTGAAGCAGAATTGCTGTTGTGTCAGGAGGTGCTCTTCTGCAACAGGACATCTAATAGATATAAGCAAGTGATGATTAGGTACCTGAAGCAAAAGATTTCAAAACAAAGGCATGAAAAGTTTCGTACACTAATTGTGCTTCACTTAGAAGAGGGGTGGCTCAAGATCATAATAATAGTGAAGTAAGTACTGTAACTCTTATGGTTCGAGAAAAAGGTGCATAAACTTCACCTAAAATGCATGGCGGGTAAAGGCCTTACCTTATACTCTTATGAAAACACGGGGGGTCACTTGACATTAAAATTCCCTTAGCATCTCGGCGCTCAAATTTCTACCTGTGAAAAGGTTTCTATATTTAAACGAATTGTCACCAGTACCCGACATCTGCTATGTTGGCCTCGCATACATGGCTGCAAATGCTAGGCTCCTCCTTTGTCCTGTGCAAACAGGATATTTCTGAAGGTCTTCGTAATGTCAAAGCTTCTAAGCATGATTTTGATGAATCGTTACCGAGGTCACTACAAATCAGAAGATACAAAAAAATTCGGGGATCTTTAGGCTCAGATTTTGGGAGTTGAACGTGGTAGTTATGTCTTGTTACAAGTGCTAACTACATAGTGCATACTTTTTAGTGTATAATATTACTCAAGAGGTTTAAACTGTAATCAATAAAGTTGAAAGTGGCTTGTTTCAGTGTAGCTTTCACTGCATTGTGTGTAATCGCAAGCATGCTTTTACCCGCGAGCAATTATCGCGCGTGAAATGTTTTCGAACTTGCCATGAAACCACTACGTGGTCTGTAGGGAATACGTGCAGTAAAGTGCCCTGCTTTGAACCACGGAGTCGTTATGACGATCGCATATTCTGGCGTCCGATGGCAATGTACACTCTCACACGTTGTATTATCAAGCCTGTGTACAGGACGCATGTGTTTGTTGAGCATGAGCGTTATTTTCACTGTATTTTCAAGCAAACGTGTGGCTGTGCGGCAGAACACTTGCTTGCCACTTAGATGGCCTGGATTCGATCGTCCCTCGGATCCGGATATTTTTTTATTATTTACTTTATTTGGATCTTTCTTGATTTTTCCCTCACGTTCGGTCCCGGATAAGATGATGGTTTTTCGCTAACAACGAACGACGCTGACACCGAATTTCTGCGAAACAAGCTCTTTAACGGTACCACGTTAAAATGTTGTTCTAAGCTCGTCATTATGCGAATGAGCCCAGCCCTATCGGCAACATAACTGTGAAAGAACTTCCTATGTGAAAACTCGACGGCCTTCTTGTTTTCGCATAGAACTTTTGTTTGACTCCCCGCTCCCCTTCCCCCCCCCCCCCGCTCTCAACCAATACGTGCATAGCTTTACATCGATCTGAATAAACTAGGCTCATTCGGTATCGTAATGAAGAGGCAGCGAGTTGGCAGGCTGGTCCTGATTCGTGTCCTCCCAACCGTTTTATTTTATTTTTTATTTCATTTTTATTTCATTTTATTATATGCCTCGCAGCCAGAGGCATTACAGGGCAGGAGTGTTGAAAGCCCACACACGTGAAAAATATCAAAAAGCAGAACAAAATGTGCATCTACACTATAAAAACGTACAGTGAGTTAGAAAACGCCTGAGTATCAATATCAGCTACGGAAACACGAAAATGTTCATATTAATAAGTAATATATGGGGTTTTAGGTCGCGAAATCGCGATATGATTATGAGAGATGCCGTATAGGGGAGGGATCTGGGAATTTCCACCACCTGGTGTTCATTAACTCGCGCTGACATCGCACAGTACCCAGGCCATTTTGCTTCCATCGAAATGCGACTGCGGGGATCGAACCCGTCACCTTCGTGTCAGCAGCCGAGCACCCTCGCCACTTATCTGCCGAGACGGACTTCGAAATTTTCATACTGATTAGTGTTCACAGCGTCCGCGGAAAGGCTACTCTGGTCGTGAAAAGATCGTGCCAGAAATTATTGACAAATATACGTAGTATTACATGAAGGGAATCAGACCTTGTGAATATGGCCAGTGTTGTGTGGTGGGTATATAACATGGTTGAGGAATTAGACGATTGCTTAGTGCAAGATGACGACACATTTCATGGAACAAAGTAAGACGTGACGCTTTTCTGCGCGGTTGTAATGATGGGAGAGAAAGGTTCAATTTTGTAGAAGCTATACTGGTGGTGCGTGCGTAAATAGCGTGAATGGAATGTGCGCAGATGTAATGGGCCATTGCTAGAACAGTAATTAAATTTACTTGGGTAGGGTACCACACTAATATAGCATTGTTTAGTATCAATCAGATTAGTGTTTTTGTATGGTAGAAGTTTCAAGGAGGAAGAAACGGGAGAAAGGTATCCACAAAGATAGACTAACATACAATTAGCTGTATTAATTAATTGATTAAGGACAAGTATTCAAGCAGAGGACGTCCCGTTTGCCAACGTTTCGCAAGCCGATTTCTTCAAGGCAGCAATTACCTCCCTTGGCAGGGTGTATACGATCCCTCAAGTGAA